AAAGGCAAAGATTGAGCAAATGTGATTGTTTCATAATTCGGAGTTCAATCTTTGGAGTCAGAAAAGGGGGAGAGGGAATGGATAAAAATAAGCAGCTTTGTTTGCCATGATGGAAAAGAGGTCAGCACAATGATATTGAACGCATCTCCTGCCTAGTCTAGAGGTAGAAAACAAGTGATGTACTGATGGAAAAAAAAAGTTGATTGATGGCTAGGGGACAACCACTAAATGTTGATTTTAGTCACAGATCAAATTAGAAATGACCAATAGAGGAGGTGCAAGAAAGTTACTTTTGTAGGTGTGTGCTGTTCTGCACACATCCCACATCTTGTAGGGAAGACTACAATTTTATTAAAGGGCATGGAGGCTCCTATTATGCTTATTCTCTTTCTTTATTCCTCAGCAGCAAAAGAGAGGATATTGTAGATGTTAACCCCTTAAGGACTGAGCCAAATGAACAAAACGTAAACAAAACCTGGCATATGTCTGTCCAACCATAATTCACCTCTTTCATATTAAATGCACCCACCCTTATTATATATCATTTTATTCAGGGGAAACAGGGCTTTTATTTAATATCAAATATTTAGCTATGAAACATAATTTAATGTGAAAAAAATGGGAGAAAATAAGATTTTTTTTATTTTTTTAGTTCTACCTGACATTTTAACATTGAATGTCATAATGCTGTTTGCTTTTACTGCAATAAAATACACATATTTGTATTCAGCAAAATCTCACGTGTAAAACAGTAGCCCCTATGTACAGGTTTTATGGTGTTTTGGGAAGTTACAGGGTCAAATATAGCACTTTACATTTGAAATTGAAATTCGCTGGATTGGTTACGTTGCCTTTGAGACTGTATAGTAGCCCAGGAATGAAATTTACACCCATAATGGCATACCATTTGTAATAGTAGACAACCCAAGGTATTGCAAATGGGGTATGTCCAGTCTTTTTAGTAGCCATTTGGTCACAAACACTGGCCAAAGTTAGCGTTAGTATTTGTTTGTGTGTGAAAAATGCAAAAAATGCCGATTTTGGCCAGTGTTTGTGACTAAGTGGCTACTAAAAAAGACTGGACATACCCCATTTGCAATACCTTGGGTTGTCTACTATTGCAAATGGTATGCCATCATGGGGGTAATTTTATTCTTGGGCCACCATAGAGTCTCAAAGGCAACGTAACCAATCTGGCAAATTTTAATGTGAAAAAAATGAAACACAAGCCTTATATTTGACGCTGTAACTTTTGAAAACACCATAAAACCTGTACATGAGGGGTACTGTTGTACTCGGGAGACTTCGCTGAACACAAATATTTGTGCTTCAAAACAGTAAAAAGTATCAAAGCAGTAATATCGTCCGTCTAAGTGCTGTTTGTGCGTAAAAAATGCAAAGAAACTTCACTTTTACTGGCGATATCATCGTTGTAATACATTTTACTGTTTTGAAACACTAATATTTGTGTTCAGCGAAGTCTCCCGAGTAAAACAGTACCCCCCCATGTACAGGTTTTATGGTGTCTTGGAAAGTTATAGGGTTAAATATAGTGCTAGCAAATTAAATTCCCTATACTTTTGGCATGGGTTGTCAGGCAGGTCCCACTAATTAATGTGTATGTGTGTATATATATATATATATATATATATATATATATATATATATATATATTTATGTATATATATATATATATATATTTATGTATATAGATATATATATTATTTCGTTCTACGTGTATTTTGATATAAATATATATATATTAATATCACAATACAGTTAGAACGAAATAGCACACATCTATATATTTTTTAATTATTTATTTTTAATTATTTTTTAATTTTAAGTATTTACATATTTTTTATATAATATATATAAATATATATATAACAATAATTATATATATATTTAATCAGTATCAGTCTACGTGTAAGTTGATATTAATATATATATATATATATATATATATATATATATATATATAATTATATATATATTAATAGTAAAATACACCTAGACAGTGTATGTGTGTGTATGTATATGTGTGTATATATACTTAGATCACATATATATATAATATATATATGATCTAAGTATATTATTATTTTTTTTTACACTGATTTTGACTTTATTTTATTTGAATTTAGCCAGCAGGGGGACTAACTGTTATTACAGGCAGTCCCCCCGGTGCTCCCCAGGACCTTATTCCTGAGGGAACACTCAGTGAACCTGCTCTAATGGGAGAATCGCCAGAGGCTGTGCCCAAATCCTTTTGAGACTTCATAATTAAAATAGTTCTCACGGTGGTTATGGTAGGTGGAAATATAAATTGGGATACAAAGAAAAGAGGGGGGGGAACCCAAATAACTACTGGAAGAATGAGTGACCACACTGATAAGCAAAAAGCTTAATAGGCCATATGGGTACTATAGCAAAGTACCAGAAAAACTTGACTGCTGACCAACCAGTCCCCCAACCAACAAACCCGTTGCCCCCAAATAATACACGTGACACTTTCTTCTTGTGGATAAGGGCAACGGCCACAGCTTTATTTAACATAATAATTTTAACTTAGTCCAACTCTGCCAGCTGTTGGGTGTTTCCCAACAGGCAGTTCTCCCAACTTCTATACCATGAGCCTCGACAGCCGGCTCCTCGCCATCAGCTCCGTGCAGGCTGTCGTCTCCCCAAAGTTCCTTTTTTCTTCTGCGCTGTCCAGGGAAACCCGCCAAGCTGTGACAACACAAAACAAGAAAAACAAGACACAAGCCACAACACCAGAAACAGGGTGGGAGGGTGGGAAAACAGCCAGGAGCCCTCACTTAACCTGCTGACTGGTAAGTCCCCTCCCTCTCCCTTTCCTTAAGAACCACAAATGTATCCATTTTAACCCAGCCCCCAATCTTGGGCAGCAGTCATGCTCCCCCTTCCTTATTCTTCCAGGGGGAAACTTGACTGCTGACCCAACCAGTCCCCCAACCAACAAACCCGTGGCCCCCAAATAATACACGTGACACTTTCTTATTGTGGATAAGGGCAACGGCCACAGCTTTATTTAACATAATAATTTTAACTTAGTCCAACTCTGCCAGCTGTTGGGTGTTTCCCAACAGGCAGTTCTCCCAACTTCTATACCATGAGCCTCGACAGCCGGCTCCTCGCCATCAGCTCCGTGCAGGCTGTCGTCTCCCCAAAGCTCCTTTTTTCTTCTGCGCTGTCCAGGGAAACCCGCCACCGCGATGCCCACCTCGCGGGTGGCATCGCGCCCCCCGCCGACAGTGCCGCCTCAATTCCAGCTTGTTATCCCATATTGAAAATATCCAACCCAATGGGGGACAAATGAACACCATCCCGTCTCACTACATCATCATTAACCCCTTCCAACTCAAAGTGCCTCACAACTATACCCCCCAGTTGGCGTACAAACCGAGCCATGGTCATGTTAACCTTACGCCTATAGCGCTCCAAAGCCTTACCATGACCCCCGGACCACCATAACGGGCGCGGAACGATCTCGGACCAGACGAGGGTCAGGTCCCGGAACAACGCAAAACAGCGGGCCACGTCATGCCGCATTGCACGAACTAGGTCCACCGACCGCCGCCATCGTTCCCGCCTACGTGAAGTACCAAAGTCACCGGCCCTGACACACAGCACCGGAGCTGTACCAGCTCGGTGTAAAACCCATCCCAGGACAATCCCCGAAACCCCCTCCAACGTACCCGTGCTACCTCGTACGATAAACCGAGGTTACGGCCATAGTCTCCGCACGCCTAGCAGCCCAATAAACAAATGAGTGTCCCACGATCCAGACAAATCGAGGAGAAGGACCTACAATGAAAATAACAGACAACCATCACCGTAACGATGCTAGCCTACAGCAAATGGGGGCGCACGTAGAGCTGGTACCGGCCCGATTGCCAGCGCCCCAAACGCTTGAGCGCCTCTGTAGGAAGGCCCAGCTGACTAGCCTGCGTGGCAGCCCCGATTCGAAACGAGTGCGTGGTGTACAAACCAGGAGACAACCCAAGACTAACCACCCCTGCCCGAAGAACCCTGGCGAACTGAAACCGGCTGAGCGCTGACCCATCCCGGTGCCGCAACAGGGACCCCGCTTCCGATCCTCGCACCGCCAAGAAATCCCACAGCAACTTAACCGGGCAAAACTGCTCACCAGTAGCCATAATCCGAACCGATGCGCCCACACCTACCTGACCAGTCTTAGATTTACGAATGAGCAACGTCATGTTGCCCGTCGAGACCGTGATATCTGTGAGTTGCATGGCAGCTGGCCCCTGCGTACTCGGAGCCACCAACTCGCCTATCCGAAGGGCCGCAAAAAAACAGATAGCAAAAGCGGCCCGGAACAGGAGAACCTCGTATCCCGAAACACAAATCTGGGGCAGACGCTCCAGGAGTCTGCACAAGATATCATAGGAGATGGGACGCCGAGCGTCCCGCCTACGACCCTTCTTCCAGCCCTTCATGATCCGCGAGACGCAGAATGACTTGGTCGCATCCTGCCACCCACACCACTGGAACAGAAAAGACAGGGCCGCTAACGCCCTCTCTGCTGCCGCTACCGACTTACCCTCCTCGCAGAGTGACTCCAAAAAGGCCAGAGTCGCTCCCAACCTACCTTCGTCCGAAGACGCCTCCCTGTCCTTCCAGACACTCGTCCACTGTCGCCAGACCGCAGAATACAACCTCCACGTCGACTCCGCCAGCGACTCCCTCGCCAACCGGCTCAAATGGTGGAAACCAGGTCCCATATACCCTCCGGGCACGAGGTGCCAGACCGCTACGCCTCTGGAGCCGCCACTCGAAACCCGTCCCACTGAAACCGAGAGAGAGAGTCGGCTATAATGTTCCCCAGGCACATGGCGCGCAACCAACCACAAATTATGCGCTAAGCTAAGCAGTACCAGGCGCCGGAGGAGCGTCAACACCGGAGGCGACGCAGACGTAGATCGGTTGATCACATGGACCACACTCATGTTGTCCGTGTGCACCACTACCTTCCGATTCGACAGCTCCACACCCCAGAGCTCAACAGCCACCACAATGGGAAAGAGCTCCAGAAACGTTAAGTTACTCACCAATTCCGTCTCTAGCCAGTGTCGGGGCCAGGCCTCCGCGCACCAACGCCCTTGAAAGTAAGCACCGAAACCCACGGACCCAGACGCGTCCGTGTACAATTCTAAATCCGTGTTGGACACTGCCGGGCGCAGCCAGCAGGATTGCCCGTTGTACGTACCCAGAAATGAACTCCAAACTTGCAGATCCTCTCGATGCCGGTGAGTGATTCGAATGAAGTGAAACGGTTGCCTGACTCCGACCGTTGACAATGACAAGCGACGGCAAAAAGCCCTGCCCATCGGCAATACCCGACAGGCAAAGTTCAGATGCCCTAACAGGGCCTGCAACTGCCGAAGCTGCACTTTTTTGGCCCCTTTAGCCGAATCCACCAGCCGCAGCAGGTGAGTTAGCTTGTCGTCCGGCAAGCGGAAAACCATGCTCCACGTGTCCACCTCAATCCCTAAGTAGGACAGGACTCCCACTGGTCCCACCGTCTTCTCGGCCGCTATTGGCACGCCAAAATGCGCAGCGACGGCTCGAAAGGAATCCAAGAGCACCACGCAGTCATCCGACTCCCACGGGCCCACAAACAGAAAATCGTCTAGGTAATGAGTTAGCGACTCTATCCCTGCAACCCGAGCGACCACCCATTCCAAAAACGACGCAAACATTTCAAAGTAAGAACAAGAGATAGCGCAGCCCATAGGCAAACACATATCAAAGAAAAAGGAACCTTGAAACCGACAACCCAACAGGTGAAAACAGTCCGGGTGGACCGGGAGCAGTCGAAAAGCAGACTCGATGTCCGACTTCGCCAACAGAGCTCCCTTCCCTGCCTCCCGGACCAACTCTAAAGCCCGATCAAACGAGGCGTAACGAACGTGTGATTCTTCCTTGTCAATGTCATCATTCACCGACCCACCCGAGGGGTAGGACAAGTGGTGAATGAGACGGAAGGATCCAGGCTCTTTCTTAGGCACTAACCCCAGCGGGGATACCCGCAAATTGGGAAATGGAGGCGTGTCAAACGGACCCGCCATCCTGCCCAAACAAACTTCCTTCCTCAACTTATCCTCTAGTATAGCCTCTTTACCCACAACTGAATGCAGGTTATCCGCCAGGGAAGGGGAATCCGAATGAACAAACGGAATCCAAAACCCTGTTGAAAACCCTTCCAGCAGAACCCCCGCATCCTTACGCTTGGGATGCCGGTCGAGCCAAGGGCGCATCCTTAGCACGCTCACTTTAGTCCTCCCCTCTAGGGAGATCCTCCCTAGTGGGTCTCCCGCCATGCTTGCCCTTCTTGAAACAGCGCAGCGCAGGGTGGGCCCCTCCACAATGAGAGCACTCGTGCTTGAAACGGCATGATCCAAACCACTTGCAGTGACTCTCATTGTTGAGCCAGCAGACTCCCCTGCGCTGCCCGGCCGGCGCACTGGACGGCACGCCGGCTGCTCCTGGAAAGGGGGACGGATGACTAGGGGTCATCAGCAAGAGCCAAAGGCTCCCGTCCTGGACCCCAAAATCCATACCTGAACACACCGCCATCTTCTGGCAAAATTGTTGGTCATACCGAAACCAACATTGTCCCCCATAAACCTTGTACGCCCCCCATATGAGGTCTGAATACCCAAACAACGCCAGTGCCTTCTCCGGGAAGGCCTGCGTCAGCACACTGGCAAAGATGGAGAACCCTTGCAGCCAATTCCCAAACGTACGCGGCAGATGCTTACCTCTGTCGCCGTCCACCGAATCTCCCCGCCGTGGCCTATCCACCGACTCCCGGTCCGGGGGGACCAGGGAAAGTAAATCTACGTATTCACCTTTTACAATCTTCTCCTTAACCTCCAAAGCCACGTGCATCCCTAGTGGGGACAGCTCGCAACCTGGCAAGCACTGCGCCCTACCTGACCGGGCATTCAACTGACCCTTATCCTGTGCATGGGCCTGCGCAGGGAGAGAAACTGGGACAGACAACAAAGGGCCCCCCCCTGGGAGCCTATCTAACACAGCCTTAAGCAACCCCAGTACTTCCCCATTGAACCCACTATCTACCCTATCCCCAGCTAGTGCATGCCAAGCGCTAGCGCAACACTTACCGCTGGCTGGCTGAGGATGCTGGGCATCACCATCATCCGAACTGGACCCCGATCCCAGGGGTGATCCACGGCCGGCCTCCAGGCCCGACCGCAATCTTCCTTCCAGGGTGCTGCTGCTGCCACTCCTGTGGTCTCTCCGCCTTCCGGTTGCCCTCCTGGGCGCTTCTCGCGGGGTTTCCGGCTCACTTCCTGCAGGAACCACGCTGGAACGCAAGGTCTGTGACGTCCGCGCTCTCCTGCGCGGTGACGTCACATACGCGCCTTGCGTTATGACGATCCGGCCGCGTCCGCGTCACGCACCGAGCGTGCTGACGCGACTTCCGTGCAGGCCGGAAGAGAAGAGCGCGGAGAGGATCTTCCCGCCCTTTCTCCAACCTGGCTTCCGCCGCCATCTTGGTCCTGGACATCGCCACCGGCCTCACAGGAACGGATCCTCCTCCTCCCGGGTACCGGACTCCGGATCTGTTGCGCGGCCGAGCCGCCACTTCTACCCCTCCACTGGCACCGCACTGGACTCGGAGAAAGACGCGACGGAGGCCTCGATCTCCTGGCCCTCCGTCCGTCTCGGGATGCAGACTGACCGGCCCTTACGTCCTGGGGGACACTTCTCACACCCGACACCAGCTGAAAAAGGCAAGCCCACCAAGTGTTCCCTCAGGAATGGCTCCACGGGCACATTGGTGAGCTGCCCAGCAACTGTGCTGTCCAATCGGCACCCACTCCCGCCCCCACACACTCAAAAAAGCCCGGGAACAAAAACGCGGCAAAAATGCGAACGGCGCCAGCCGTGGTTATAGCGGCGAACCGGGAAGCCCAGAGGAAACCTCTGAGGCACTGAACTAGACTGGGCGGTAAGAGCCTTCGCACAGAGAGCTATTAGCCGCCCTAGCTCAGTAGGTGATAATCCACCTGACTGAGTAAGAGATGGGAGGGGAGGGAGGGAGGGGTGAGGGATTGGCTCTAGGTTAAGGAACAACCAAGAGCCAGCTGGAAACAAAGTACAGAATCAGGGCAGAAGCCCTGCAGCAGACAGAAATAAATGAAAAACTCAAATGCAATATCAAAAACCAATAAATATGACAAACACATTGGTAGCATACAGAGAAAAATATAAATGTACTTAGCTGAGGAAGGCAGCAGCAAGAAAGAAGAGTGGCTTATGGTCACATGGGGAGTTGATGGTGCTGAAGGCATTATGATTTTTGGTACAGTTATATGATTAACCCTTTGGGTGCATGTTTACATGTTTGATTTGTTTCTCTAAAAGAAATATTTTTGCTGCTGAGGAATAAAAGAAAGAGAAGCAGCATAATATGAGCCTCCGTGTCCGTTAAAATCAGGGCTTCTCACACACTGTCTATAACAGGATGTCAGTACATGATGGAACTTTTTATACATGCGCGAAAGAAATTTGGAACAGCAAAGGGCAATTCAAAGTCTATCTTCTGACCAGTACATTGGGGCGTGAGGCTTGGACAATAAAAGGGCCAATTTGAGCCACCTTTATGCCAGTTTGGGACAGGCCATCATCCCCTTATTCATCCACCTCATGAAAAAAAAATGTTTTGCAAATTAAACTATTCCTGTTTTTTCTTCCCCAATTTTAAAATACCTCTAATTGAAATGGTTTTATCCTGCCTGACTGAGTCTTACAGCGTGGTCATGCCAGCTACAAATTGTCTTTAAATTCAAAACTTTTTTCAAAATTTCTAAAAGTCTTCTGAGATTATTTAATATTTCATTTTAATAATAATTTAAAGTTCTTATTTAAATCTAATAAATATGACATGTTGACAGTTCAAGATTGGTATTGTTGCGTAGCCATTACGTAAGTAATATTTTAGCTGTTTTTGCATTGCACTACACTTTTGTGCCAGTTTGGATACTTCAAATTGTTTTCTATGAAACAAACGCGTGGATGAAATTTGGACATAATAGTGTCATTGTGACTTGTTCTGGCACATCATGTTTCACAGTTGTCAGTAAATATAGAGTTTTTTTTATGTATTCATTATTTCCAATATAAATACATTATTTGATAATTTTATGCTATTTAATATATCCTATAAATTGGCCTGTATTTTAAGGATCTTTATCCTGATTCCCACAGTTTATTTTTACGTATATAATCTGTGACCTGTATGGGAGTATACCAATTAGTCATAAAACAACTGATTAGCTGTCATTCATGTCTTAAGTCACAAACCCGAATTTATAATATTTTTTTTTGACTTACTTTATTTTGTAATTTTGACATTTAAACAGGCATAGTAACCAATACATTAGTGTTGCAAGTTCATAGCTTACAATGAATTAAACAGAAACCCCCAAGGCTATAGTCCATGTGACCTACGATTCTTTCAGTTGATCTTATATGGGTTTTGGGTTTGCTTCAGCTGTTCATCCTGGCTGGACTTAAGCCCCAGAGTCTATCTGACAGCTATATGCCCTGTTAGTTTGACCTGACCCGGTGTTTCATCTTCTTTGTTCACCCCAATGTTGGTAATTAGTGTTTGTCGTTAGCCTCAGTTTATAGCTGATCCTTGTCCAGATCCCTATCGTCGCCCCTATGAAAGGGTGATCCTTTAGGTCCCGGTCTTGCGTCGGGTTCGGAGTCCACAGTACTGGGGGTATTCGGCCGCCTGCTTGCGAGCGTTCTATGTGGACCCATTGTTTTTCCGTCGTGGGGACGTGCCAATCTATGATCCTCAGGAGGTGGGTAGCTTGGTAGTACGTCCGCATGGATGGTAATCCCATCCCTCCTTTGTGTCTCGGGAGAATAAGTTGTGATGTTTGATTCTCGGGGGGCCAGCTGCCCATATGAACTTCAGTGTTGTGGAGCCCATTGTTCGGAAAAAGGCCAGTGGTATCGTGATCGGGATGGCTTGGAACAAGTATAGGAGGCGTGGCAGTAAGTTCATCTTCACAACGTTGATTCTTCCAAACCATGATATGCACATACGCCCCCATCTCTGGATGTCCGTGCGTAGGGTTTGGAAAACGGGGAGGAAGTTTTCCTGGTAGAGCCATGTGGGTTCTTTAGTTAGCCAGATTCCAAGATATTTGATACGGTTTATGTTACTGATGAGGGGGTTCGGCGTACCCTGGAGAGGCTGGGTTGGGGCTGATCTTCTTAGTGTATGATGCGCTATTCTTGTGTCCTATAATTTAAGCTACCCCTGAGGCTACGTTTGGTTCCCCTCTTCCCCCCATTTTCCCGCTGTCTACCCCATCCCCCCCAGCACCCATCAAGCAGACCCACAGTAAATCACCCCATTTCGCCCGCAGAGTCCTGGGCTCCCGTTTCCTGCCCAAAACCCAGGGTTCCCTATCTCTCCAAGTCCTTGCACTAGCCCCGGGAGAAAAGAAAAGAAAAAAAATGGGGGAGGGGGGAGAGAGGAGGGGGGGCCCCCGCGGGTCTGGTGACCTGAGCAGTCTAAGTTCAAGTCCCAGCTATTCTGCAAGCGTGGTCCAGGACAGGAGGGTGGGAGGGCCGAGTCCCCATGCAGTTGGTGGGATCTTGTCACTTCCCACCCCACCTGAATTAACCTTATCCCCCTAGGGCGAGGTGCAGGCCAAGTCCCCGGTTGATCCCCAGTACCTTGAGGCCTGGCTGGTCACCAGACCACTTGCGCTTCTCCTCACCTGTCCATTCTTCCGCCTCGCCGCGGCCACCCCACATGCGTGGTGTCCTTCTCTCAGTGATGTTGGCTGGCGGGTTGCTCCTTCGGTGTCCTGCCGTGGGGCCAGCGGGATCTCCAGTAGCCAATTTCGTACTCAGATGTTCGGCAGGTGCAGGGCTCGTGTGATCTGTGGGACGTCGTTGGGCCAACGTATGTGGAGCCAGTTATTCCTGTGTCTCACCTGGAGGCTAAAGGGAAGCCCCCACCGGTAGGAGATCTCTCTCTATCTCGCAGGGTCATGGTCAAGGGCCTGAGGGCGCGTCTAGCATCAAGGGTAAGGCTGGACAGGTCCTGGTATAGCGCTACCTGTGAGCCCCTGAACTGGAAGTCGTCGGAGCCCCTCGCTACCACCATCAGCTTTTCCTTGAGACTGTAAGCATGAAGGCAGCATAAGACATCCCGGGTTTGGCCATCTGGCCTCGGCGGTCCCAGTGCCCTATGGACCTGGTCAAACTGGATTTCTGGTGGGCAGTCTCGGCCCAGAATCTCTTGGAAAAGGGCTGTGATCGTGTCGGGCAGGGGGGTTGCATCCGGCTCCGGCAGGCTACGTATGCGGTTGTTGTGTCATCTGCTGCGGTTTTCCAGGTCCTCGACCTATTTACGCTGCCTGGTGTTGTCTGTGGCTCGCTTGGGCCTCAGTTTCAAGGGCCTCCACGCGTACTTCAACCGCTGAGAGATCTGTGCGCAGGGCCGCAATATCTTCACGGACTACTGTCCGGAGGTCTTGTATGAGGCTGCTGGTGCCGGTCTTCTTCAGCATTTGCCCTGATATCGTGGCTCCTGTCGGATCCGCGCCAGGGTGTCTTCTTGGGCGCCATCTGTTGTGGAGCTTCTGGGGATCCGGGCACCATATTGTCTGCCGGCCCGGAGCCGCTGCAGGTGCCCGGTGTGGACACGAAGTCATCCATCGTGCCGGTTTGGCGGCGTGGAGAGCCTCCTTGGGTGAGGAGCTTCATATTGCGGACCATTCCGTCGGGCTTAGTGGCTGGTTAATTGCGCTTTTTTTGCTGTTTAATGGCCGGGGGAGAGGAGCGCCAGGGTGTCTTCTTGGGCACCATCTGTTGTGGAGCTTCTGGGGATCCGGGCACCATATTGTCTGCCGGCCCGGAGCCGCTGCAGGTGCCCGGTGTGGACACGAAGTCATCCATCGTGCCGGTTTGGCGGCGTGGAGAGCCTCCTTGGGTGAGGAGCTTCATATTGCGGACCATTCCGTCGGGCTTAGTGGCTGGTTAATTGCGCTTTTTTTGCTGTTTAATGGCCGGGGGAGAGGAGCGCCAGGGTGTCTTCTTGGGCACCATCTGTTGTGGAGCTTCTGGGGATCCGGGCACCATATTGTCTGCCGGCCCGGAGCCGCTGCAGGTGCCCGGTGTGGACACGAAGTCATCCATCGTGCCGGTTTGGCGGCGTGGAGAGCCTCCTTGGGTGAGGAGCTTCATATTGCGGACCATTCCGTCGGGCTTAGTGGCTGGTTAATTGCGCTTTTTTTGCTGTTTAATGGCCGGGGGAGAGGAGCGCAGTCTTCACACGTCCTTCTCCATGCCCGGTCTGGCTACGCCCCCCCGCCTCCCACCCCCCGAATTTATAATATTGACAGATGTATACTTGAGTCAGGAACAGGTTGACAATGGTATTGAAACTCAGTTTGAGTTATCAAGACCTAGGGTGAGAAAGGAAGAAAGGGAAATTCATAATTAGGGGTTGGAAAAAGGGAGACATATTTTGCTGGTAAGGGGATAGGCATATACATCATAAATTAATGAGTTGGGAGTTAAAGGAAGACACAGCACTTGGTCAGTGATTGAGGTGCTCCAATTATACATACATCTAAGTATGATTCCTGTATCATGATGCAGTATGCGTCAACACAAAAAATACTAATGGTGTATCTTCTCGATATCTAGGTGTCAACATTTAATTGGATGTAGCTCAATATGCAGAGGGCAGCACAACCACAAAGAGACCCCCAATAACTGGGAAGTCTGGTGGGATAATAGGGCTACAAAAGGAATGAGTGGTAGAATGGGGGCTGACTGTATTTACAAATAATAGGAGGGCAATCCAAGAGTATAGTCATGTTAAGGCAGAATAGGATTGTGTGAGGTGGTCAAAACTAAAGTTGTTACACTTACTAGAGAGTGGTGATAGTCATGTAGAATAAATTGTAGCGATTGCAATGGATGAATTGCACAAAGATCCAGAGCACTTGGATTGCTTCTTAGGTGGTGTTACTAGACCAAGAACCAGGAGAGCGGGATTCAGAAGCCTACTGTGCTGATGGGGTGATTAACACTGTTCAGGAGTCAAAGTTCAGACATCAAGGCCAATATTTAATAATCTTTCTAAATGATCAATACTGTTAAAAAACTTCTGCAAACATTCCCGTTTAATGGTGACTTCTGTAGATAAATCATTTAGAAATGTTTTCTAACAATACTGAATCATTTGGAAAGCTCTTTAAATTGAGGACAAAGTTAGCTTTTATTAGTATTTTTGAAAATAAAAATGTTTTAAAAATAAATTAAGGGGGCTGCGGCCTGACCGCCATGCTGACCTATCGCATGCTACTGAGGCTCTTGCTGAATCCAACTTAAAATGGCAGAAATCATGGACTCACCGCAGATAATCGCGAGGAGAAGTCCACTACTGTGCACAGGAGCTGGTGGGCGCCACTGCGGAGTTTTTGTGCCCCTGTGGTACGAAACTTTGGAGCCTGTGGCCTACTTGAGTGAGACGTGAGTAGATGGCCAATGCCTTGTTTGCAAGGTCCTTTGACACGTCTCGCTGCCACCCCCCTATCCCTCCATGGGACGCGAGGGGTGGGAGCCGAATGTCAGCAATATACAACCCCCCACAGGGCATGCACAGCACCTGAGCAAATGTACTCTGCCTGCAACATGGCGGTCTCAAGGCCCACACCGTCCACGACCATTCTCACTGCTCACAGTCGGCATTGCAAGCAGAAGCACATCACCTTCACCCTGGGACTAAGCTATGGAGCTCCTTCAACACTACCCCGAAGTAATCCTGGACTGCCTAGCCTCTGTACCCTAGGCTTGGGCCTGGTCCCCACACCAGCCTTCCTGGGCCTTGAGCCCTAGTAGAGGACATTCCTCAAACTGCAGCCCAGCACCTGGACTGACCACACTTACCAGGAATCCCATTGCTGGCCATACATGGAATTGGAACCGAGGGCACAGGTGGTCGGTTCATGCAGAGCCCGGGGCTGGCAGCGTGGCACATACATGACCCACCGTCACAATGGGACTCAGCTTATTCTGAAATCAGATCGGAGGCAGGAAAACCGAAAGCTCGGGAGATCTAGCATACCTGATAACTTACCGCCTCGAGCAGGTCAACGGAGCTGGACCCAAGGAGCAGAATGACTTTCCCAAGGAAATCCCAGTGGAGTTTATTTAGAATGCTTCTCAGTTCAACAGTTTTTTACGTTTGACTCACTCAAAGCAACGACTTCCATATGATCTGCATATAATTTCTCTAAGCTATATCTCTTGAAACTAAACTGTTCAGATATGTACCATGTTTTAATATAATGATTACCTAACCACTAGCTGACATATCCTGCATATGCATGTTTAATTAATCCTGAAATAGTGCAGTACCCTCTCAATTACATATTTTTATCTGCATTACACCACTGCTTTACGAATTAACTTGATTATATCAGACATGTGCAAACATGAAACATAGACACATAGAATGTGACGGCAGATAAGAACCATTCGGCCCATCTAGTCTGCCCAATTTTCTAAATACTTTCATTAGTCCCTAGCCTTATCTTATAGTTAGGATAGCCTTATGCCTATCCCATGCATGCTTAAACTCCTTTACTGTGTTAACCTCTACCACTTCAGCTGGAAGGCTATTCCATGCATTCACTACCCTCTCAGTAAAGTAATACTTCCTGATATTATTATTATTTTTTTTAATTTTTTTTTTAATTCTTTATTTTTGTAGTGCGTAGGCATATAACAGTTGCATGTGAGGTACCCCAAAGGCATTCCTCTAGCACAATACAAACAGTTGAACATAGGGGTACAAGGAAGATCAAGCACATTTTTTATATATAAGGGTAGAAACAGTATAGCTTTACTTTGTTCAGGCATTTGCGTAACATTTGCATAACATAACTTTCTAGGCATGTGATTATTTTGCAGTGGCAAGAGCTAGTCAAGCTATGAGTAGGTTACCACATGCGTTAAAGAAAGGTTGAGTGAGTCAGAAGATTAGTTATTGCTAGTGGCAGCAGCATGAGATATGGTGATAAGATATGCTGTGACATGGCTGACATAAGTTAGTAACGTGTTGGGTTGGACACCACCCTGACAGGCTGGTATGTCTACCTATACGTGGGTGTTAAGCTTATGAGTAACTAGAACCTTCCTAGCCATTAAGGCTATAGATTAGTGGTCCCACAGATAAGTGTGCTGGACCAACTCTGGTGGCAGGGTGTTGAGCTTATACCTAGAGAGGCTTGGTAAGTGATTGTTGCGTCCCGAGTGGCATTGCCCCCGTGGCGTTGACAGTCATGTGCCATGCCGGATTGCTATATGCAAGTGCCCAGCGCCAATGGGACAATGGGCTTAGTGTTTAGTTGGCGGCAGTGGCGCTGGCTTTACATGAAGTGTGTAGGTGCAGTTGTGGGGCAGATATGGAGCAAAAGAAAGTTGAATAACACAATAAATGCAACTTGTAAAAAAAAAATTTAAAAAAATGAAGGTACATATTTACACTCTTGTCATAAATAGAGTCCTCCACTGTCTGCGGTTAGGTATGTCCGCGGTGTCGGTAAAGTCCCCTAGCCAACTCCAGCTCTCAGGGCGTGCAGTCTGGTCGCAGGGATCTTCTTGGTGTCATAGTGTATCCAGCCTCTTCGTTCGATGTATGGGGTCTCTGCGTTGGTATGGGCATAGCCCCATTCCGGTGGGGTGGACCTGCCAACGTGAAAGAGTCTGCGTGAGGTGATGTGTCACCGGCTGTGGTGTCGCCTCCGAGGTATGCCAGGGCCTGCCTCCGAGTGTTGTCGGTAGAGGTGTTGCGGTGTGGTCTGCCTGGCGCTCTTCGGCCATGTCCGGTCCCTGTTTAGCGCAGTGTGTCGCTGCAGCAGGACCGCCTTTTCATGCCTCTTAGGTAGGTTTAGTTTTGCCGGGCCCTTGTATGAGCGGGTCACCGTCATAGGTAGTGGTAGTCGCTTGGGCTTACGGGCTTTTCTGTTTTGCCATCCGCAGGCTTTGTTGGCGTGAGGCAGTGTGCACGTTTGTTGGGGGATCACCGGCAGGACTGTAACAGGATGGTATGCCTTGGCCTGTTGCTCCCTGGAGGCTATTGTCTTCCAGAACCTGGCGAACAGCTCATCCAGCCTGGTCACAAGGTCAGGTTTCTTTGTGTCTTGGACACACGTGGCGGCGGCCATTTCGGTCTCCATCTTGTCACTAGCGGTTTGCTGGTTGGGGATACGATTTAGGCCCCTGCTGTCTTCTGCGGTCCGTGTAAGCTTGTGGTACTCGATTGTGTGGACCGAGATAACCCCCGCCGGTCCTGGGGGGGGGGGGGAAGCCCGATGCTTCGGGTGCTGCATGGTTAGGTGAGCCGGGAGAGCGGCCATCTCTCCCCTGCTCTGCATGTTATAGGCCCCAAGCCTCCGGTCTGGATTCCCAGCGGGCTTTTGAACGTGTGAGGTGTCCCCCGGTACCCCAGCCTCCATTTAGCAAGGTGGGGTAAGTTGGGGTTCTGATATAGGCTGTATTCCCACTGTTTTCTGCCAAAAATCTGATTCAGGCCTGGGAGCTCACAGAAAGCGTGTCTGTTCAGCTCCCCGGTCAGGCCCCGCCCCCCTGATATTATTTTTAAACCTTTGTCCCTCTAATTTAAGACTATGTCCTCTTGTTGTGGTAGTTTGTCTTCTTTTAAATATAGTCTCCTCCTTTACTGTGTTGATTCCCTTTATATATTTAAATGTTTCTATCATATCCCCCCGTCTCATCTTTCCTCCAAGCTATACATGTTAAGATCCTTTAACCTTTCCTGATAAGTTTTATCCCGCAATCCATGAACCAGTTTAGTAGCACTTCTCTGAACCCTCTCTAAAGTATCAATATCCTTCTGAAGATACGGTCTCCAGTACTGTGTACAATACTCCAAGTGAGGTCTCACCAGTGTTCTGTACAATGGCATGAGCACTTCCCTCTTTCTACTGCTAATACCTCTCCCTATACAACCAAGCATTCTGCTAGCATTTCCTGCTGCTCTATTACATTGTCTGTATTTGCCTGCACTTATGCATGTTATATTTTGTTACATTAATTTCAAATAGTGCAGTACCACCTCAAGCCATAATCTAACCTGCGTTAAACTACTGCTACACGTTTAAGCCTGTTGTTATTATAAAAATGTGCAATTATTCATGCCACTGTCTAGTCTGAATATTCCTATGTACGCTGTTGTGGAGTTTTGATGATGTTCTGTTCCTACATGCACAATACATTTTTTTTTTTTTTAACAAATTATAAAAATAAAATAAAAGTAAAAAAGAAAAATGTGGCATTTTATTCTACACATAAATCAACTTGTACAAATTCTACTCAATAATTTTATACTGTGTGAATTATATTTAGCATATAAATAAAATTATCAATGATTTTATGACATATACCACAAATTAAACTATTGTTTGATTTATTTAAAATATAAATTGTATAATGAACATTCAGTAATTGAATATTAAATATTATGTATTCAGTCATTTTTGCCTAGATTTAATATTTTTGGGTAAACTTTTCAAATTATTTAATATTTTGCTTACATTTTTAATAGAATATCAATTTTAAAAAATATATATCAATGTGATATAAATATATATAAAAAAATATCACTATATCAGATATCAAACTAGTAAAACATTTTTCAATTTTTTTTAATCAAAAGCATTAAACAATTTGAAAGGCTTATCCAAAAAATAGTAAATTGAGGCCTTTAGTCTATATAACAAAATTTAATTGTTGCTGCCTTTTTAAAATTCTATAATGGGGTTTTCCATTTAATTGAAAAATACAAAAAAAATTTAGATCCCCAAAGATCATTTGGCATGTGACCAAGACATAAAGTAATAATTAATTAGGTAAAATTATAAAAATTCATATTATTTATATTTTTCAAAGAACACTCAGGAGTTCATTGCAAAACCTCAAAAGATGTAATGATCAGGGAGTAACTATTAAAACTGATCAGGGAGTAACTTCTAAAACTTCTAATACTTAGAAGTTACTCCCTGATCATTAAACCTTGGAGGGTCATTTTTCAATGGATTCCTGAGCATTCTTTGAAAAATATAAATAAAACATTTTTTTTATTTTTTATTACTTTGTATCTTGGTCACATGCATAATGATCTTTTGGGATCTATATTTTGCTCAGCATATCCATTGAGCACTTTTAGGTGTCACATTTTACCATTGCACAAGTTCCACCCATGCTGATAATGCATATATTAGTAGATATTTTAAAAGTCAGTGGTTTTCAAGTCTGTTTCCAGGGTTTGGTCACCAGCTAGTCACAAATATGTTCCATCCATACATTAACAAGCATTTTTGTCATGGCTGCACTACCCAACTTACAAGTATAGATCAGAAATAGGAAGAAAACAGAGAACTTATTACTGGAACTTAGAATGGCCAGCGTAGTGGCCCCTTTGGCATCGAGTAAAGAAAGGAGAGGAGAGCTTTGGACGGGTGCAGTAATTTATTCTTTGCATCAGAAATGGGCAGGAGTGCTCTGAACACCACCAACATCAATATCTTTAAACACCTTGAGCACCGTGAAACCGTAAGCGCCATAAGCACAGTGAAAACTGTAATAGGACATACAAATACATTTGTTTACAGAGCTTCACCGAAAGGATTACAAACAAGATTACAAACAGGATTACAAATGTGGAGTTCGGATATCTGCATACATCGATATTACATTAAAGGACCACTATAGTGCCAGGAAAACATACTCGTTTTCCTGGCACTATAGTGCCCTGAGGGTGCCCCCACCCTCAGGGACCCCCTCCCGCCCGGCTCTGGAAGGGGGAAAGGGGTTAAAAACTTACCTTTTTCCAGCGCTGGGCGGAGAGAGCTCTCCCTCCTCCGATCCTCCTCCTCGGCTGAATGCGCACGCGCGGCAAGAGCTGCGCGCGCATTCAGCCCGTCGCATAGGAAAGCATTTACAATGCTTTCCTATGGACGCTTGCGTGCTCTCACTGTGAAAATCACAGTGAGAAGCACGCAAGCGCCTCTAGTGGCTGTCAATGAGACAGCCACTAGAGGAATTGGAGGAAGGCTTAACCCATTAATAAACATAGCAGTTTCTCTGAAACTGCTATGTTTATAAAAAAATGGGTTAAACCTAGAAGGACCTGGCACCCAGACCACTTCATTAAGCTGAAGTGGTCTGGGTGCCTAGAGTGGTCCTTTAAACATCTGAGGAATACAAACTATACAGAGATTTGGAGCATAGTACTTTTATACAAACGTTGGCTTATATACAACATATCTTTTAACTAACGGTGTGGACACAATTATTGTCCAAGAACATATACACTTTTATAAAAACTCCGCTTGCCAAGGGTTGCAACTTTAAACTTTATAAAAACCTCTATAACAATCGCCTTCCCACAAGGTGCTGCTAGCCTGCTTTGCATCTGAATGCTGAGTCACAGAGCGCTTTTGCCGCCAGAACTAGTGGAAGGAGGGGTCTAATGATCAAACATTCACTGGGGAAACAAGAGGAAGGCAGAAAGGTTCCATCTATGGCATTCAGTGCGTTAGAAAGATTTAAAGTTATAAGCGGACACTTACACTCCCACCAAATTATGTTATGACGAATGTGACTTAAAGAGTCAGACATAAATTACAGAACATAAAAAAGGCTGTTATAAACTTGCGTTGTAAACAAAATAGATTATAGGTACCTCTGTAACTGTTTATTGTGCTATGTGTCTTATATTAGTATATCACTGGAACTGATAAATTATTCACTCTCTATAAGGACTATTAATTTTTTAATAGGGAGCTCAATTATTGAAGTGCTTTGAGCTTGACAGCCTTCTACCAACACGAAGAAGTCCCTGAACCAGAATGGGGTCAAGGTAACTAAGAGGGCTTGTACTTGGAAGACTATCTCCTCTTTGAAGAAGTTTTAGCTTGGGGGGGAAAACTTGCTGTTGAACTAAACCTATTACTACCTCCCCAGCCTTCCTACGTTCCTCCGCAGTCACAGGATTGCTGCAGTGATGTGTCTTCAATCTTGGTCTCTTGATTCTTGCAATCACCGTGATAAGCATTTGCCAACTGGAAAACTTGTTCAGATGATTCAGAACTCCAGTTTGTTCACTTGTGATGCAAGGGTTGTGAGGAGTTTAACTTCAGGTCGCCTACAATAAGTTCTGCTGAAGGACTTGGACATGAGAGCACTTCAGATTCCCATAGAAAACTAGGCCCAGATAACCAGCTTGAGGAAGAAATATCTGCTGCGCGAAGACCCCTGGGGGCATGGTTGGCTGGGTTTTGTGCTGTATCCACATAATGTAAGCCTCCGACCACTTACCTTATCGGTCCGCCTATCTGCCGACATCGGGATCGGTCGGATCGCCGCTCCCGCGCCGGGAAAGGATGCATTAAGCATTAGGGACACTGACTGCTATGCGCCCGCCCCTTCTAAGGAGGCGGCACATGCGTACTAGTGCCATGAGGTCAGAAGAGCTCTAAACAACAGAGCGCAATGCACACATACATTTTGGGGGCTTGGTTATTATAATTACGCCCCCAATCATATAAAAGCCCAGTCTGCCCCTAAAACAGTGCCCTGTTGTGGTTCCTAGTGTGTCTTGTGTCCCTAGTGTTCCTTCAGTGGGTTCCTGTATCCTTTTGATAGTTCTTTGGTTTTGACCCGACTTGCTCTTGACTATTCTTATTTCTGGTTTCCCTGACTCGGCTACGTTCCTCGCTATTGTGTATTTCTGGCTTCTCTTGACCTTGGCTTGTTTCTGGCATTTCTTGTAGATTCTATTTTTATCCGACCATTCTAAGGACCGGTTTAGGGACTTTCTATCTGTCTCTATTGTTCTGGTGGTTTTCACTCTGCGTATTGGGTAATAACGTTACACATAATGCCAGTGAACTGGATTTGTAGTTTCTCTTATGAGTTGAATGCGATTGGCCACAAAGACGTGAAATCTTCTTGCTTCATTATTAATATATGACAAAACTACATGGCAGTCTGTCCAGAAAAATTCTTCATCAATTTCTGTCTCAAGTTCTGCCTTTAACATAACACTCAACCTTGCTGCAGTGACTGCAGCTGAGAGTTCCAGCCTTGGGATGCTCACAATCTTTGTTGGTGCAACTCTTGCTTTGGCCATTACAAAGCTGCAATGGACTTGACC